GACAGATGTGAGAGCAGAAGCAACTGCACAGAGCGGCACCAAGAGGACATATGTCACAATCAAACCCTTTGCTTTGACATAAACTGCAATTATAAAGGGGTAGTTCTTCATTTTCTAAGATGCCATTTCGAAGAATCCTGCAAATGTCCGTATTTGTTTTACCAAATTAGTTCATTTCCATCATTCAAATACACTGTAAAAAATGTCTGTGTGGTTGAATGGAGCCCTGGAGTTTCAAAGAAAGCACATTGACCAAATCATTGATGGAATGTGCCAAATGTTCACACAGGTTCCAAGGACCCCTGGAAATGCGTTGACCAACTCAATGCATGGATGTCATAAAGTGTCTTTAGGCAAACTTGTCTTTTAGTCTTTTTTCTAACCTTTACCAACTTGTATGTCTAAACATAACCATAACATGTTGTATCATGCCACAGTTGCTAGAAGGGAAAAATTGTACGAAAACAATAGCCATATGTCATCAGCAAATTTGTGGCTTGGCTGCAACAAATATTTTTTTGTTGGTTAAAAAAGGTTATCTAGTTTCTTATTTTGTTGCATATTGCAAATTAGTAGTACCGTATATGAATCTAGTTTCTCCAATGACACAGGGTTGCCCAAGGATGGAACTTCAACTACAAAGTTCTTGCAGATAATAAAGAGTTACTGACAAATGTGTTCAGTCAACACTTTTAATGAGAAGGAGCCATACATCATGCATACTGTTAGCCCCTTGTAATCTCTTTATTTAGTAAGGTATTATCTGATGGTTCCTTTTGAAGATTAAACTAACGTTGTTTTTTTGGTGACAAATATAAGAACCTGAAAATGAGTGTTTATATTTGCTCTTTGTTAAAATGAAGTGAAACCCAAATCATACCAATTGCTGTTGTCATGCATTCAGATCTAAAGTTACATCAAGACAATAACTGCTTATTACACATTTAATATTTAGCAAGATTCAGACAAGTTCATGCCCAAACAAGTAACTAATGCAACCTTTGTAGTGAGCCTTTCTCAGATCAGCTCTGGATTCCAGTCTGTCAAGGAATAGACTTTAAAATGTGTCAATTCATTTCTCAAAAAACTGGACTACATCTCAGATCTTCTGCAGGAATATGAACTCACCAGACCTCTGAGGTCAGAGGGCACAGGTCTCTCGGTTGTTCATCGAATTCGATAAAGTGCTTTGAGCAGCAATGCTAAACAGATCTTGGTCAAACTTCCAGGTGGTTTAAGTTTGTTTCAACATGTTTGCAATTGCTTCCAAGTCTAGCTTATTTTCTTCACTTTTAGTCAGTTGTATGAAATGTTCTACGGTGTTCTATGATTTAACTTGTCTGACCGTGTCTGTTTTCCAGCTTTGAATGAGAGTTGTTCATTTCCATGAATGTTGATTTAAGTTGTCCAAGGTCATCATCAGTATAGATATTCTGCCTTTGGGTAACATTTACCTTAAGGCTCACTCAAAGCTGAACGAAAAAAACAACAACCAACAAGTAACAGAAATCACAAACAGAGAAATGAATCAAACAGGATTACAGTCAATGGGATGGGCTTTTTTTTTTTTTTTTCCTCTGATGCCTTTGATTGACAGAACTTCTCTAATCAGAGCTTGCCTCTCGCCACCCACTAACACTGTCACAAAGGTGGCTGCATTGAAACAGGTGGAATGAAACAGTACTAGCTCACAGTAATGCATTATGGCTATCTGCGTTTGCAGTTATTGCATGATGAGTAGAGTGCTGTTAAACATAATTATGAGTATGCTACCTTGGGATTTTTAGGTTTTGTGCTGGAGGAGGAACACGTAATGTAGGCAGACATTTTTTTCAGTCCCTTCTTTTAAAAACACCTTCCATAATTACTCAGACTGTGCAGATGTTTAATTATTTCTATTCTTTTTTCATGTGAAGATGAGTAATTGTATTAGTGTTTCACTCCTGCAGTTTCCTGTTGTGTGACGTGTTCACCTTTTGTGCACAAAATTATTAAAAGTTTTGCTAACCAGCCTTGAGAGACCGTTTTTGGACCATTTAGTGACCTTAAAGTTGGAACAAAGTCACCAAAGACTTACAAACATAACATGTCGCTCATTCTTTCTGACATGCTCTTTTCATGCTTTGGTGAAGCACTCATTTCCCCGTTGTAACTGACACGGCTGTAACCAGGACAAGACGTGCTGACACTTGGCAATACATTCTAGCTCTCGCACATCTCATCAAACACTACTCATCCATGTACAGCCCATCGCTAACATAGCTGTTGACATAAGTTGGCGTTGATAGGAGGAACAGACAAATTGAGGTGATGACTGTTAACCTTCATAAGCGCTCGACTTCCCTTTGGTCTGCGGTGTCACTAAGACATGTGCATGTTAACAGATCAGATGTGGCATCTTATATCTCACATTAATAATGCAGATGTAATCGTTGACCTTCAGTACAGAGGCACATAGTGTTTGATCAGTGACTATCTCTTTAACATCAATAAATCATTATTAATCCGGTGACATTATTATAATTAATGTTAAGAAAAAATAGAGGAAAAGCCTGAGCCTGCCCATGAGTGAAACTCAACCTACACAGCTGAGCCAGCCTGACTGTTAAACCTATACCCTTACCCAATTATCCAATTCTGACGCTTGGGCATTGGCTCTAAGCTTCAAACCATGTCGCTCTGGGTACCTTCTCTAGCATTAGTTTTGGATGTGTCAGGGGCGGAGTGTCAGTTTCCACTTGTTACATAGTGCCTTTTCAAAATAAGCTTCCATCATCTCCGCAAGTGAGGTTTAGGCAACAAAATGACTTAGTCAGTTAAGTTCAACCACGTTCTTTTCTTAAAACTTACTGACGCCTCACATGAGTCAAATGAATAATGACTGAAGTAAAAAATGTGTCTCACAGGACACAAACAGTGGTCCCTTGGACAAAAGTCCTGTTTGTTAGACCCATTTATTTCCCCTCCCGCAGCCCTGTGTGGACTCTTTCACTTAGTTCTTGTTGGTCTGAGCATTGAATAATAATAGATAGGTGAAAGTCCAATAGCAGACGCAGAGGGGCACTGACATAGCAATGGTATTTGAAGATTTTGGAGTGTAAAGTTCATTGGCAACATTTATCAGTAGCAGGAGGTCATAACGATAGTTTGACTTTTTTGTTGTTTATTTTTAGTCCTCCAAGCCTCCCAAAGTGATTCAAGGGAATAGCTTCCAAGTGAACTATTTACAGACATCACAAGACATCAAGCCACACTGAAAGTCTGGTTTGAGCACTGAGCTAGCTAGTTAGCGGAATTGTACACTACATCATTTTTTTATTTTTATTATCTTTTGGTACCAATAATGGTGTCATCGGAAACACATCAACCTCTTTATCTACACGGCGGTTCAGGAGTGTAACCAGTGAAGCATTGTGTCTCATCCCTTAACACTGGTACTGTATACCTCCATTCTTTATGAATTGACAGGAATGAGTGACAATATGTGTGTGCACCAAAATGAGGGGGATTTCAAGCTTAAGATGTCAACCTGTCTTAATGCACCTCAGCCATTGGTTATCCCTCAAGATATAGGTGCATGGCAACTACAGTGCTATAAAGTTATGATTAAATTTACACATCCAGCAAAGATTGTAGACAACGTCAAATGAACTGTAACCGATGGTCAGTGTTAGTGAGGGTATTGAGGAAATGATTGTGATCATGCTTAAATATTAGAAACACAAAATGGCCTCTGATGTTAAAAGTAAAGCTCTTGTTTGCTTCTTCTTCTGAACAGAGTGCCTCCCACACACTGACACAAACACACACTCTCTTGCAGGCACAGTTTAACAATAGTGTGTTGAGCTGCTGTGCACTTGGGTTGGACAAAAAGTGCTGCTTGAGCTTAATTGGTATTTGGTCTCATTACCTTGTCTGAAGCAGCATGTCAACAACACAATAGCAGCAGCTGCTGCTGTCCTCTGTCAGAGTCTACTCTGGACCTGTTCAGCCCCACTACTGCTGTGTACTCAATGTGTTTGACAGATCTCTCAGCCCAATACACAAGCATATCTGTTTCTGCAAGTGATTTAAAAACAACTAAAATGTTGAAATAAATGTAAAAGGTTCCTGGTTGCATTTACTAATATGAGTTGATTTAATATGCAGTTAGTGAGTGAGTGAGGCCGGAGCCACAGCAGTAGTCAGCTGCACTGGTTAAAACGCAATGCATCTGTTCCATCACACAACAAAATCAGTGTAGGATGTTACTTGCAAAATACTTCAAAACCTGGGGTCAAACCATGTACTGTATGACGTCTGCCCTATACTCGCTTCCAAGCTGCATTTTTGAATTGTGCAACACTGTATTCGATTTCGCAGAGAATGAACCTGATGGTTTGACAGAACTGGTGAGTCAAACTGTAAATAACACACAACTCCTTTTTACTATTCAAACTGCATAGTTTCAACTTAACACTATTCTGCCTCATTGGATTTCACCTTTTAAACAAGGGCTGTATTCTCTTCAAAAGAGTAGGAAGAATATTGCCTAATCGTGTCCATTGGAAGTGTACTCTTAAGGTGCTCAATACAAAATTCAGGGTAAGCAACTTAATTTTTCTTTTCAGGTTAGAAACTGCGCCATTATATCTTTACATTGCAAATAGTTTGTATGCTTTATTAATGCTTTGAATACTGTTTAGAGAACCTTCGTTTTGAATAGGTTAGGGTTTGCCATTGTATCCACCATTTTTACAGTTACCCTACCAAGATGAGGGCAGCTTGATTGACGTTTGATGTTTGTGCTTGGAGCAGATTTCCCTTGGTGAATTTCTCTTCAGTGAAGTAAGCAGCAAATGTTTTGACACGTTGAAGTAATTGCAGAAATAAATGATCCAAAGATGACTCGATGGACGTTACAATAACTCCATCCAATTCATTTACCCTAATTCTAATTTGCCTTGAGTGAATTTTAGAATGAGAAGAATGCTCGTGAAAAAAACATTCCAACAGCTGTAATCTGTTATAACATGATGTTTTAATATCAATTTATCTACAAAATCTTGACTGACACCACTGTATTCTGGTCTTCATGGAAAGTGCACTGTTACTGAAGCAAAGGAACATATAAAAGTTACAAACAAACAGACTTAACCATTTTTACCATAAACTGTCCATTCATTTGGCATTGGTACTTACAGTAGAAATGAGCAGAGTCATATTGAAACAGGATGGTTCAACTTTAATGTATTTTAGTTTGTACTGTATAATTCTTTCTCGTATAGTTTGTTCTTGTGAAACAGTTGTGCGTTTTTTTCGCCGGTCCGCCTCATTCTTTATGATCTAGCACTGAAGGGTAGTTGCCACAAAACAGAAACCAAAACAGCCAGATGAGTACATTCTTCAGCTGTCCACAACTGGTTCGCTCCTGTTTTACCATACGATTTGGTAATCCATAGAGACAGAGCACAACTGTAAGCATCTGCACCACAATGAGGACTGTTCTGGTGTCCAGGAGTTCAGTACAAGCTGGTCCAATTCTCCCTTCAAGCAACTGTTAACTGCACAACTTGGTGGTCTCGTAATCCATCGAATTGGGCAGACGTGAGCTGAAGGCCTGTAAGGAGGCATGAATGCGAACCACCTCGCTGGCAGTAAGTTTGAGACGGTGTCGCAGAAGACAAGCAAACAGATCCAACCTCTGTTGTACCGGAGGGGACAGCCGGTTCACCCTGTCTCGTATTTCCAAGAGCTGAAGCATGGCAGTGTCCTGGGACCCTTGGGTGTATGGGTAGTCCAGCTGCAGAATCAAGTCGCGGATTGCCTCTGGGTCAAAGTGCATGCTGTAGCCAAAGACCTGGATGCTGTTGATCTTCATGTAGCCCAGGTTCCGAGCAGGATCCGTTACTTCTAAAGGCTCGTAATATATGCTGTCATTCACTCCATCTTGAGTCTTTATCCGGCTCCGAAGGTAGATGTGGATGGTTTCAAAGAAGGTTTTCCACTTGTTGCCCAGCGTCAGAGTCCAGTTATAGCACTCGAAGGGCAGGTCCAGCTTGGTGGACTGCCAATCTGGAAAATTGTTCTCATTCACAGGGATTAACCAGCTCTCTGAGTGGCTCCCTCCAAAGGGGTTGATGTAGAGAGTAAGGACAGGCTCCAGGGTGCTGTTCTTGGTAAGGCAGATCTGGAGGGATACTCCCAGCAGCATGTGGACCATGTTGGACTTGTACTTGTTGCTCTTCAGCGTCAGCAGCATCCTCTTTCTCCACGAAGGGTCAAACCAGCTGTTGAGTCGCATGTCATTGCTGATGAATATTGCGTGGACCTATCGGACACACAGAGATGAAAACAGTATAGATTCATGAACACACCGCATACATGCAACATGGAATTGGAATTGTTATAACCTAAAAGCAAGATCACAATCAATTGTTGAAGTTTTAATAAGTGGCTATGGAATACTCATACATTCGGGCATTTTCACAGAAAGGGATAACATGCTACTAAAGTGCCTGCCTCAAGCAGAAACGGGCACATTGTGGTACAGGATAAATCTTACACAACATGCAATTGTAGTTGTGGGCCATGTGACCTGCTTCAGTCCAAAAAGGACCATTTCTAAAGAAGCAGCTGTTAAAAAATGAAGACTGTCTGAGCACTACAAACACTCTAATGTTCGTATGCTTTGGGCCCGGAAAGCAAAAGCCTGACGAACGTTTAGGTTCCCAGTGAGCAACTTCCATTGTAATGATTGGAACATGCCATGCTGTTCTCTTCATACACCCATGGGCCAAATGGAAGCACAATTATGTTGTCGAGCCAACATTCACTTAAAAGGTAAAGCATTTTTCATAATTTTGTTGAAATTCTCATTATATCCTTGAGGCAATCAATGACTCAAATGCTCTGCCAAAGAAAGAATAACAATAATTTGAATGAAATAATCAGACTGGCTAATCGGCCTTCCTGCCTGCATGTGCGCAATCTGCCCCTTGTAATTATTGCTCGTCATCGGAGTCTTCCACAAACTGCTATTTTAACAGCTTTGACTACTCACACTAGCCATGTTCCGTTTAAGTTCATTATGATATCTTTACTCTCATTATGATATCTTTGGGGGCGTGGCTTTGGAAAGAGGCCTAAAGGGACGGGCTCTGACCTCAAAGGCAACAAAATAGGTATTAGTTTACTTCTTTATTTTGCATTTTCCTCATTACTCCAACATACAACAACACACAGTCCACCTTAATTGTTATTTCCAAATTATTCCACCACATCCAGTGGCCTTCCGGATGGTTGTTTAGAGAAACTCCATCTACTAAGGAGTCGTCTTTTCCGATGTTTTCTTTTCCCAGCTAACCTATTTTTTTTATTTATATAAAGTATTATTACTTTCCCTCAGATGAACACAACACACAAAACTTGTCTCAACAAATACAATGAAAAACACGAGGACATTATGAAGTTACTCAGTAGCCCGAAGGGCGAGACTTTGTAATGCTGAGTGGCTCCCATGAGTCAGTCTATCTTTCCCAGGATACTGCTTTGAAAGACAGCTCAGCTCTCGGTCATACATTAAAACAAAAGGCTAACGGAAAAATATACCTCTAGCCTGCGGTCACTTCTCTGCAGTAGGTAGCCCAGCTCCAAATCCTGGAGGTCCGTCTCGAATCCCAGGTAGTTCTCCGTAGAGTCCGCCACCATGGACCTGCAGGCCCCCTGTATCAGGGCGAAGCCCGGGTTGCAGCTCCCACAGCGGGTGTGGTTGTCTGGTGCACAGGCCGCGCATGCCGAGCCCTCCCCGACAGAGCAAGGCGGCGGCAGCTGACAGGGGCTGTGGTCGTATCGGCAGCTGCAGCTGTGGAGCTCCTCTGAGAATGCACCAAGCTGGTTGTTCTCTGAGCAATACAGGAGGGACTGCAAGTGACTCAGCCAGTAGGACTGAGGCCTGCACCAGGGAAGACAGAGAGGCAGAAGGAGGATGAGAGAGAGAGCGAGAGAGAGAGAGAGGTTGTTGAACAGGGCTTATAGGATGACCTGGTTTAATAGGTAGCTGCTTTATTAGGACTGGGACACCTGGCTGGGTGTGCAGACAGCTTGCTCATTAAAAAATAGAAAGCATAATCAGTATGATATAAGGTGGGCAAACAGTCCTGAGAGGATTCAAGTAAGCATGGTTGAGGTGAGGTCAAAAGTTGGATATTTTCAGCAGGATAAAGATCTTAAGATTGTATGGAAGTGTTTGCAGAAATATCATAAAGTGCCCATTGAGTGTAGGTTACAAATGCAAAGAAACATTGGTGTTTGAAAAGGAAGAGAGAGACAGTAGAGAGAGAAAGTTATCTTTGATCAGTCTGTGACATAAATATTAGAAGTGCGCTGCAGCCTTAGGGTATCAGACTCTCAGACATACATATAATTCCCCCATGTGGGCCAGAGTTTGATTCCCGTCTGTAGCGCTTTCTTGACTGTGATCCCTTTATGCCTCTCATCCTCTTTGCTCGCTGCCGAGAAGGGATGCACGGTACATACCGCCGGCTTTCCTTTCAGAAAAAAAGAAGCCTTTTTCTTTGATGAGGGTGTATTGTGGTAAACTTTATGCTAATCTGAAAATGTTTGCCGGATTACATTTGGGGCATCCTTCCTCCGTATCCCAATCTCATTGTATGTTTGGCAGTTGGAAGCAAGTCTAAGTTCAGAAAATCACTGATTTGAATATTAAAACCCCCTAATAGGAAAAGCGGTCATGGGAAATGATCCGAAAGGGCTCTTCCTTTCCATCACGCGCTACCTGTGGGCAAGGCATTTCACCTCCGACAGCTTCAGCAGAGCAAAGCAGTCGCCAATACAAATACTGCAGCTGTACTGTTAGTTCCCTGGTGTGATTATGTACAGCCTTCCTGCTCCCTGCAACTCTTTCTCCTGCTTGGATCACAATGTGTTTGAACTTCTGCGCTGCTTTAAAAGGAGCAGGCATCATTTTGACCATATAAGGTACGAACAAACTGAGTCAAACCTTAACTTACTGTTGTAATTATCACATTGTAATTTACCTTTCTGTCTTTTTATATTCTTTTATAAATTGTTTTCACATTTGTTTGCTTCTGCCTTGCATTCCTTCCACCATTGTTATCCGTTTTGTGCATTAGATGGTGAAAAATATCAATGAATAGTAAAAACTTTTACTACTAATCATTTTCTTGTCAGACTCATATTCATCTACTGTCAGAGGTACAGCATGCATGCTACTAACAGAAATGTGCCAAACCAGTCAATTTGTAAATCAAAATGTATCAATGTGGACAATGTAAATTAAGGAAACACCAGTGTCATCATTTCCATGCCTTCTGAACTTTTTCCCTCGGTGTGAATTCATGTACTGTAATAGAAACAGTGCGAGGCTGCAAAGATGAAATTGGTCTGATCTACTGAATCCCTTGACAAGTTAATTAAAAAACTATTCAACATTTCTAGAGTCAAATCCTAATTGCACTCTCTTAGTAGTCAAACAAAGATGAGAGGACTCGCCGTATAAAAATCCGGCACCTTTTTCTGTTTAAAGCCTAGGCACAAGAAAGGAATTTTATCAGCAGATAAAAGCACTGAAAGAATCACTTGAATGACAATGTGCATCGTTATGCCTAATGCCAAAAGTTTGAGCAAGTGTGCTGTGCAGTCTTATCATTACCCGCCTAATAAAATCCAAGCTGACTGCTGCTTTGACTGGATTATTCGCTCATAATTGTCAGCACAGGAAAAAAAAGGAGGCCCCAGGACGCAAAATCAATCACATCGCTCTCATCTATCTCAAGTGCCTTAAACAGGATGTTAAAGGAAGAGTGAGGGCTTTTTCAAGAGCTTCCGTTTCTCTCCCAGGCAAAACTGACAAACATTCTCAATCTCCTTCCACTGAGTATGGAGATGTCTGTGAAGAGAGAAAAGAAAGGGAAGGCTTCTTCGTTGATGCGGCGGTAATAACATAGATAAACACTGCCTGGATGAGGGCGATGACGCTCCCACTCCTTTTCCTGGCAAGTGGGTGGGAATATCAGCTGCATCAGTGATTAATGTGTCTGTTGGCAATGTTGTGGAGAGGGTGACACAGATTAGTGCTGAGACAGTGAAGAGAAAGAAGAAGAAAAGAGAGAGAGAGAGAGAGAGAGAGAGAGAGAGAGAGAGAGAGAGAGACTGGACATTGAATAAAATGCACTGTATAGATGAATCTGCCGGCTGATTAATGTGTTGTGCTCTCTAGCATCGCCACCATTACTGTGAAAGCTCAGTCCATCTGAGAGCAGTGTGACTGACAGTAATGGTTGGATTCATCACCTTCGACAATCAACCCCTCTGACGGAGGAAGGTAGCCTGAGTGAACGTGAATCTTATTCGGTCTTAAAACACAAACTTGAAATTCGGAAACTGTCCTCAACACTTAAAATGACGTGTGTGTGTGTTTTTTCACTGACAAGCCACCTCTTGCTGGCATGGGAAGAAATGATTGTCCTCTCTCAGCAGCAAAGGCTGAGGAAAGTAGAATTTCTTTTCTTTGTGGCCAGGAAACCAATGCGGGTTTCAGAGGGGTTTCATGGGGACGAAGTCCAATTAAACGAAGATTTCATGAAGATTTCATGAAGCCCAATACATTTTTAATGGAGCAGAGACTTGTGGATTTTTAAAGTTGAAGTTTTTTTTTAGAGCAGCCGATACAAGCAAAGTAAGCCAGGTATAAGATCTCTTATGTTGATCTGCAAAATTAAAACAAATGTACGTGTATAAAAACTGGGCTACAGTCCTCTTGTAGTAGATGTCTGGCTTGTTTTATTGGTATTTCACTGCATTTTAGCAGGATGTTATACAAAAGAGATGTACTGTATGTAATTGGATTAATCTTAAGAGAGAACCGCACGCTCTGACTCAATGTACAGTAGCTTTGGGCAAACAAATCCCAGAACCTCATGGATGTATACATCAACAGAAATGGAAGGATTAAGAGATAACTACATTGCAAAAAGGCAGAGCTTTAATTAAAAAATGTTCTCTGCAGTAGGGTTACACAGGACTTAACAGACACATGAGATGTGTGTTCCAGCGGCTGGGCTCACCGTTCTCTTGGTAGGCGCACTTGGGGCTGTCGATGACATCTTTTACTGAGACTGAAGAGCTTGAAGATGACTCTCTGCGCTCGACTGGCAAGGACCCGCATGCTGTTCTCCAACTGCTCATATCGCCACTGGAACAGGTTGTCCATCGACCACAAGTGTTGGATGCCTGACACGTTCAGGAAATAGTTGTGGGGGAGCCTCGCATAGAACGCCTTGAATTCATCTGTAACCACAGACAAGACACAGGGACATCTTAACATTTCATCATCAAAACAGCGTTGCCAGGTTTATTTCCATTGTTAGCATCTACTATCGTCTATACCGGTTATGTTAAAAGATTGGGTCCGGAGACACAGGTGGGTCGCAGGATATTTGAATAGGGTTGCCAAATAAATTTGCTGAATTTCCTCCCTAGTCTTTTATTCAACATTTATATCTGCAATAGACCTTTGAGCCACATTAGGGAGCCTGAATGTTTGTATTGTTCCGATAATTGTAGCATTGAATCTAATATATCTAATAAGTCTATCATAATTCTGTTTTTCCAACTGATGAGAGTAAATGAAAAGAGTGAGATAGCCTGGTAACTCCACCTTAATGCATTTATTTGGTCTCAATTATAAAGATTTTTCTGTGCTGGGTTTACATCATGTTTTGGAACTCATTTTAAGTTCATGCTTGGCTTCAATTATTGTCATCATATAACATATTTACAAGCCAATGATATAACATCTCATAAATAAATTGTGGTCATGTGATTTTTCCTGATTTTACAACTTGACAAGGATCACCTCAGCGCTCCATTAAACTGACCAGTGCTCATTGGACTGTGGGCTGCTATAAAACACAGGATGCAGCAGTCGTTTCCTCCTGTTTGAGTCGAAAGATGGCTGTATTTTTCAGTGGCTTTTGAAGGGGCCTTTGAAATTGGACATACCTTGGCAGCCTGTTCTATTTGGGCTAAAAATATGGAGTGCCTTACACTTGGACAGAGCATCTGGCATGTGGTGCTTTGAAAAGTCAGCTCTCACACACATTTTGATCATGTTCGGTAAAGCAAAAAGGAAACCTCCAGACTGACACTAAAGATAGTAAAAGACACGATAGTGCCACTTTGAAGCAGAGAGCAAGATGTTTAATGGGATCTTTGGTTTTATGATACAGAGTAAGATTTGCAAATGTATCAAAATTAATTCAACAATAACACAGTTTAAAATTCTAAATATAACCTCCCTGATACAGTATTACTACTGCAACAATCTGTACTGATACTGTTCGTAAAAGTATCCCTGCCATGAACATCATTTATCAACTTTTCTCCTTCTACATTACACCATTATGTTTTGTATGTGTTATATTTGAGTTTAAAAACGTTAAAATATGTTGATTGATGTGGTTTTGTCACATTCATCGTCTTCTCTTAAATAAGTGAATTAGCGTGAAAGCCACATATTGTAACAATGAGCTCAGCCCTGCCTAAAACAATAGAAAACTCTTTGGATTTCTGATTCCGTCGTCCTGTTTTGGCACCATTTGGTTGAAGGTCAACAATAGCATTGGAATTAGGGAGGAGTCCCTTTTTGATCTCATCGTTAGACCGTTTCCTGACATCTTACTGATAAAGCAGCCAGCTAGGAACGTGTGGTAGCCCACGCTGAAGGACACATTTATGATTCTGGGCAGGCTCATGCCCTCACTTCACACCCAGCTATTAAAACATAAACTTTAAAAGTAATTGCACTTAGGGATATTTCAGCCAAATCTGAGGAGTGGAGGAAAAAAAAAAAAAATTTTTAAAAAAGACAGCCATTTTGATTTCACCTGTGTAATAATGACCAAGACAGGGTGACCGAGCACAGCAATAATAACCAAACATTATGCTAAGAGCGTCCGCTGAAACTCTGTTTCCCCGGGGATATGAAAAGCTGGTCTGGCAATGAATGGCTGTTACAGCTGATTAATCTGCTCCAGGCATTGTAAACTACCAAACGCTGTTGATTTTGAAAAAAATCCGGTGCTGTTGCACTGTTAATTTCCTTCCTGCAGATAGTGTTCCAGGACAGGATTCATAACCAGCTATTATAGACCGCCTATGAATCATAGAATAGGGAGGAACATGTATATATGAACCTCACTCCCATTTAACGGTGCATATAAAGCAGTGGAATTCATCCTTCCTCCCTCTAATGACTTATATTCTAAAAGTTTGATTTCTCTGCATTTAGAATGAGGCATGCTATGTGAAAAAGTGCAAAAAATCCATAGCTTTCTAGACGGCTTTCCTACCGGATTCCTCAAACTCTTTATAGAGCATCGCCCATGTCTCTGTGATCCTCTCCAGGCTCTCCTCCATGGCTTGGATGTCCATATAGGGGCAGTTGCACTCTGGGAACTTGGGGTTACAATGGCACCAGCAGTCATTGTCCTTGCAGACAAATTCCCCCTCTCCATTACAGGCGATGTAGCTCAGAGCAGCCTGCACAAAGCTTTCTCGCAAGTAGTCTGGAAGGATCACCTGCAAGCCTGTAGAACCAAGACAGTGAAAGTGGAATCACTGTAGTCATGTATTAGGGCTGAGCTCATAATTTACTTAATACAATCCCATATGTGCATATACTTATTAGTTTGACTTTTAAAAACATATCATGCAAATCACAAAAAATGTGTTAAAAATCAGACAAACCTTGCAGCTGGACTTTATTTTCGGGGCTCTGAACCAGCACAGAGCTAACAGAGTCAAGGTTGTCATAGTTACTACATCCAAGAGGACCTGTGCGGGTCTCTGTCACCTGGGCAACAACAAATAAAAAGATGATTCATGTAATCCTGTTAGAGGATGCCAATTATGTTACACAAGGCACATTTTAGACACTGTCAAACTGTTTAAAAAGTGCTTTCTACACAACGGGTTGAACTTGTGTATGTGACAGAAAGGGAAAACTGGGGTAAGCTCATTCAGTTTCCTATTTCGATTGACCTTTGCCACAGAAGCAGCTCCAGCAAAGCGTTCCTCTTTCACTTCATCTGCAAGAAGAGATCTTATTTCAATGCTCTCCTTTTTTCTTGCTGTGACACGTAGCGGCAAGCAGCTAACCGATTCTCATTTTTCTCTCTTTGCGGTTCTCGGACACCATATTTCGTTCAGCGATTTGTCCCGGTCAGGCTTGTCAGAGGACAGTTGGTGTAAAGTGACAGATGGATGAGGCGAGACAATGAGGGTCAGTCGATCAGTAACACAATCAGAGGGCGGAAGGGCTTGGGCTCTCATATGAGGCCGGTGTGCTCCACGGAAGGGAAAACTCAGTAGGGGGGCTTTTTAATACGAAGCCTAATCCAGAGGAAAGGGGTTTGTGAGAGGAAGAATAAATATCCTCTGTGAATGAGAAAAGGAAAATGAAGATAATTTGAATGCAATTCCTTGACAATGATATTCGTATCACATTATAAATCCCTTGTTTCCCTCATAAGGGATTTTAATGCCGATATGAATGTGAGGAAATGAGAGACACAGCCCTGGGTTTCAGACCACATAAATAGTGAATCTTTTTAAGGAATTATTTGATATGCCATATGATATGCCATACGGCAAAACATTGACTGATGAGCAGAGCATTCAATTTCCGCTTTTGCATAGCAGCTGATATTCACTGTAGATACATTCTGGTATATTAAAAATGCTTAATAGGACATTATTGGCCACCTGTATATTGGCACATGGCCATGTAAAGGAATGAAGTAAAAGCTGGAGCTTTGTGGAAGATTTCTGCCTTTTCTTTGGTATATATTCATTATTGTTTTATGTGGGCTTCGAGTCCAGGTACTGCAGTGTTAAAAGTATGTCACTGACTCGTTCAAACAGCAGAGTGAGAGCAAGAGAAGCAGAAGAAGAAGAACGTTTTGATCACTGCCACATACAGCGGATGAGAAATTCTAAAGATGGGAATATTCTGAATTACCACAAACCTTTCGCACATACTGGAAAACAACAACAACTTTCAGAGGGAGTTGAGATGGGCTCCAACTTTAAAGAGTGCATTAAATAGTTTGATGCCACTAGCGGGCGGTCGACACGATGACAGCTCATGTTATATTACAAGCGTATTTATTTTAAGCCGTACTATAATGTTTTTCTAACCCTAACCTAACCGCCACCTTGTTATTAAATTTACTGCGACTGTTTCACAATGTCAACTACGTGCGAACCTTCAGCGTCAAGATACGATGCAAAGGGCTTCTGGCCTAGTGGCAAAATATGAGGAGGAGGGATGAGATCACATTGAGTTATCTGAGTGGGCATGAAACTTTTCAAGTGAATCATTAGCACAAAACTTAATACAAATCTTGAAGAACTTGTGTAGATACAAACAAACATAGAAGTTGGCCAAAACTCCCAGAGTGCATTTTGGTAAGAAACATCCAATCACAGTTGCTTGAAACTCATGTTTTAAGTGGCATGTTATGTGGGCCGCTGGCAATAATCTGCATATTAAAATACATTTTCTTTCAGAATCTGGGTACATTTTGGAACAAAAGAATTGTCAACTATAGTTTTGATTCCAACCAACAGTGAAGACATAACTACAGCTCTTACCTGTTGTATTATCTGGGAGACTACAATGTGCCTATCTAAGAAAATATTGATACCATTAAAATAACATTTTGAAATAGCGATTAGAAAAAAACACACCAAATAACACTTTGAAAACTTGAAGCCACTTTAACTCCTAAATTGATATGTGCACATCCAGCAAGTTGTATAGCAACAATAGCTATTTGTGTCCACTTGATGAATGGAAGTCCAATATCTAATCTCCTTTTAGCTCTGATTTGATCTCTACCAGTTCCTGAGACAATGTTCCAGAACATTGATCAGTCTGTTCAATTTGAGTTAAGAGTGTGTGTGGTGATATAGGCAGAGCCTCCATTTTAATTCAGTCAATAAAGAGATATTAATAATATATGTAAGCTATATATGGACTGAGCACATACAGTATATCTTTAAACAAGAGCCTAAGTCAGAGCGGGGAAAATATGTCTCTAAGTTAACAAGTTTTATCCAGTGTTGGCCATTAACTCATCTTTTATCAGACTTACATTTCCTTAAAGGGTGATTCAGTGGTGAAATTATACTGTGGCCTACATTACATTTTACATATTTGTTCAGCTTTCATCTGATGGGGACAAAATACAGAGCCCAGCAACTGAAGATGAAACATATAGTTGAAGATTCATATAAATATGTATGGATTAAAGACAGATCCATTAAGGTTTGATTTGCACTTAAAAAGGTGTTAAGGTTACATACAGCAGATTTTAAATTTGAGACATTTAATATATAAACATAATTCAGTGGTTTTATTTGATCTTCTTCAACACGTGTACTAGGTTTAAACACATCCACTGCAGCGCTGTTAAAAACATGTTCAGAGTATATGCAGAATATTTAAAAAACTCACTTTCAAACCCCATTCTGCAGCTCCTCCAGGATCCTACTCAATCAGAAATATTAACATCTCTCCAATATTATAGGAATTATGTTCCATCAGTGACAGCCAACATCAACTGTCACAGCTATAATATATATATGAAAAATTCCACTCGCAAAATAAGACAGGCTGTTTTATTTTGAGCTGAGGGTGACTTGATGCTGCGGAATATTTCAATGTGATGGCAAAACACAAAAGAAGCGACTGACAACCCAAAAAAGCAGTAACTTCCAATTACAAAACTGATATCTAACGAGGATTTATATTTTAATATATAGTAAACCTCCACTACGTAATGCGCTTCGAAACATGCTTTGATAGAGACTGGAATCAATGTGCGTTTACCGCTGACTGGCCAGCGGTCGAAGCGCCGTTGTAGATATACTGCATGTTGATAAGATGAAGAGAAGCAGGTGAGCCTGATGAGCTTGATGAACAGATTGCGGACGGGGGACAGGTGAGTGTGATGAGCAGAGCCGGGAGCGAGAAAAAGGAAGGCCACGCCCACACCAGAAAAAGCAAAGTTTCAGATCTCCGTGGTCAACTCAGCAGACACTTACATGTTAGTGCACCTATATGCTGAAATTCACGGTAAACGCATTTAAACGGCACAGATCGGGAGCGAGCGAAGGACTTTGAAAGTTAGAGGAAGGATGAACGTGAGACAACATCCGGTTTTCAGAATAAGATGCCAACAAAGTATGAATTATATTCACATTAAGTATAAAACATGCTACCTGCATCTCGTGAACCAAATGTTATTGCCCTTTAGTTCATATAGCAGTACTTTTAAAATAAAAGTGTGCAATACACTACTTTTGAATTCATTATTGAACTTTGCCATAACAATGCGATTAATCGCGATTAATTGCAAAAAACGATTAAATATTTTAATCGTTGCCCAGCACTAGTTTTATTGTGATCTACTCTGTGATAGCCCAGACAATAATTGATCGAGTCAGTCAGGAGACACTAACATGTATTTCTCTACCATAATGAGAACACAATACAATCAATACAAGCTGTGTGCAGACACAGGCAAACATGGCCGGGGTCAGGTGGGGATATTGCAATCGAGTCTATGAAATTCTCAAATCGTAGCAAAAGTGATCCCTGACGCTCTCGAACAACTGGAGTCATTACTCATTGTACAAACAAGCCGCCCTGAACACAGTTTGCTCTGGGCCGAGACTTCTGTGAGAGAGCCCAAATTTCCGCAGCCAATCCCCAGTACACCGCAAGAGTAACGAGCTTTTCCTCCAAAATGAGCTTCAATTTCCCCTTTGCATGGAGACAGCGGGGGGGGGGGGGTGTCTTTGCCTCGCCAGCCCTCTCTCATTCATTCCTCAACTTGTTTGATTTTGAATTCATGCAGAGGAGTGCTTAGTTGTATCTGTTCCGGTGCCGTGTGGGTCAACGCCCTGTGGAAATGATGCACAAGTGTGGAGGAATATATTGCTCCTTTGACTCACTCTCTACCAGTGATGGAGCTGAATCATACCTCTTTCTACTTCCTACCTGTCAGTCACGCCAGATCACTACCTTTGGAGCATGAAAGCACACTTTCTCTTATTCTCTTCCTCTCTGTAGCTAAAAAAAAAAAAACTTGATTCCCAAGAAATGAAACAGACAAAAGTATCTGCCTCTGCACCTCTGTTGCACCCACCTTAGCAGCAAAAGAAATACCTAACCCTCCCTGAACACAATATGTAGTGAGAGGACAGAGCTTTGATATAAGTACAGGGAGTCTGATTCATGCTCTGCTACAGCAGAGGAAGCTACACTTCACAAGACGACCACTGCTGTGTTCCGAGGAATGAAAGAGAGGCAGAAAGGAGAGTCATCCTACGCTCCGTGGCCCTATTAACCCCATGCTGCCTGAAGGTGACAACTGGAGGCAGAAACCTGTCACGAGCTTTTTCTCACAAGATTCATTTATCTTCCCCTCACCATATGCACTCATCAACCAGCTTCCTCCAGACTCGATGTGCTCGGGGTAGCTGAAGATCATATCTTATCACAAGGGTGATAAAAAAACACCATCTCCCCATTTTATTGGCATTTTATTGTATCAAGACATGGGAATCGTTCACATATTGCTTTGAGATGATGCTTTCTACTTTACAAATGACACCTGAAAGCAACAAACACATTTCATATTAAAATTGAAGTACAAATTTGAATCTGACCTTTTTCCAATGAACAGTGTGTGCACTGTGCATAGAGATCAATCGGTCAGAGTGTCCACGTCTTTTTAAACGTACCTATGCAATGTATCCTTATGCAACAGTCTGTACGATAGATTACGAAAAGTTACTCCTGATAGTAGACAACACGTGTGACGTTAAGCTTACTTTTACAATTAACATCTGTCATCACAGAAAGCAACAAGTTAGGTTCAGGCAACCAAACTACTTTGTTCGGTTGAGGAAAAGATTGTGAACTACTGAATTAGTTTTAGGATACGATCGTCGTCTGGGTTAGAATAATGAAGGAAGGGCCACTTCTGAAGTACGCAATTACGTGACGAATAAATCAAGGTCCACTCCTCCTCTACCACGGAGAACGAACAGCAGTCTCCTGGATAAAAGATCACTTTTTATTTTACCGACCCACTGCCTCTTAGTGTGGGCTTTTGCGGTCTGTATCATGATTACGTGGATAACAGACTTTGATGTTTCGAGATATCTACGAATTACAGCACATTACTCTCCGTAGGTACAAACACTGGATGAGAACAGCCTGACCTATGTATTTTAAGACTCTTTATTTATTTAGTACAGTATTCTTTGATGATATGTATATTTCTGAGTCTTCTTTCATTCATTTGTGGTCTTTCTTGTTATTTGATTAGTATATTTTGAGCTCTTACAATTAATATCTGCAGCAATTTTGTTATCAGAGTCAAAAACAAAAAGGCTCTATCCTTCGGTATTGTCATTTTTCATTTTGTGCATATAATTCCCAATGGAATGCGGTGAAAAACAGAATTTGGTGCATGGTCGTTCCCCCTACTCTGCTATTTATGAATTTATCAATGTTTCTGATATAATTGTGGTATAGGGAAAAAATATCACATCATATAACTGGTGATTGTGATTTGCTTTCCTCCAAAGATGAGTTTCATTCGAAGCTTCTCTGGGCATATTCCCATGTTAGCAACTCCAGTTGGCAGTGAGAGGTAAATCTCAAACCCTTAAACCCAGAAATCATGTACCGTGTTTTTTATGCAGGCTCATGTTGACAATCATAGCCGGTCTGCGGCTTTAGAACAATGGATGAAAAAGAGACAGGAACACAAGGTCTTCTGTTTGCGATACATGGCTTCTTAGAATAGAGCGCTCGTTCTCTGCTTTATTACGTACCAATGTTGCCTAAATTTAGCTTTTTAAAGTCTATTTGAAGGTTACTTTAAAAGTGTGTTGGCATGGTAATAACAACATTACATCATTTGCAAAATTAGTATGTAAACACAGGGAAACAGTTTAGAAATATTGTTTCATACATACTGTATATGAGAGAAAATGCGGTTGGAAGAAAGTCGTCAAAGTTTCCAAAGAAGTAGGTAAGACAGTAATCTTCCAAGACTACCCGCCTTCTAGCTTTTTACCATCTCAACTTATTGTCATATGTAATGATATTGACTTGGGTTTGGGCTGACGGAAGATTAAAAAACGATTGAATCTTTGATAATTAAGGCATTAGTCTGTGGATGTGCCCGAAGAACTCAACAATAGAGATAAAGGCGTTACCTTGATGGCAGTGGAGGCGATCTGGATGTGGTGCAGCTTGCGCAAAGTGCTCTCCCTGTCGATGAAGTAGGAGGCAGCCAGCTGGTGCAGAGCTTCCAGAGTCACAGTGGAGGAGTTACTCGAGTAATCGCTCACCTCTGCCTTCTTACTCAGTTTCCTCTTGTCCACAAATATCGTTAAGGCCTCTTCTCCTGCAAAGAAACATACCATTTAAAGAAGAAAATGTAATTTTATCTTTTTTTTACTTTCAGGGATAGAGTTGAACTTCTCTGTTAGAAAATCAAAGAGTAAATAGCATAAGTGTTTAAGTGTTCTTTGTCTTGTATTTGGTGCTAAGCGCTCATGGTTAAGGTTTTTATGTGCACCTGCCGCAAATAACTTGTCAATCAAAAAGTGTGCCAACTATATTGGGCTTTTTCACTTGGACTTTCTGGTAATGAGATTTGAGTGTCTGCGTTTGGCAACTCTTTTCATTACAGCTCATGATGATATTTTTGTTTGGAGTTCATGCCAATTACTTTTACTTTTACAGTCATTTTAAAACCTGCCACATACTGTGCTCCAAGACACACACACACACACACACACACACACACACACACACACACACACA